GCTGAGGAAGGGATACACCAACCGCAGGGGCGAAGAGGATGGTGAGGAATCGAAGTCGATTGTGTTCATCCTCGAATCAGCAGGCTGTGTGACTGGAGAGCTCGAGGTCTTCCTCCTTGCTAACGACAGCTACTACCTCTGGAAAAAGATCTCAAGCCTACAGGAGACGCTCTTCTCCACGAGCTTCAAGTCAGACACGGAAATACGCGCTTTACTCCATCCCCTCTGCGAGGCTGCGCTTCAGAGCCCGTGCGTGCTGATCCCCCTGTGGGGGGGGGGGGGATGAGGGTCTCTCGGTTTTACAGTTTTTACTTGCGCCCGGCCGCCTATCATATCTGGGCCTGTTGCACCTCATCAGCACAAACTTCGATGGGGTGGGTACTTTAATTGACATTACCCCTCATTTGAAGGATATTCTGTGATAATATGAGTGGTAGGGGTGATATCCCCTACCTTTCAGATGGGTCTCTAAAAGGGGGGCAGGGATCTGTTGCAGAGACAAGGCGGCATGCGTGTGTCGAGGAGTAGTAAGGAGCAGGGACATCGGACTATGGTGCTTTCTTCCTTGCTCTCGTGCAGCATGATCGCTATGCAAGCTAGCTTCGCTGCCTGCTATCACTCTGAAAGCGCCAACGCACTCCAAGGTAAGGAAAAGATTTCTTGCAAGAATAGATTGTGATGAACATGGCGCAGGTTTCATGGCACCTCCCTCGCATCCCTGGAGCATCTTGAGAGCTCAGTCTACGAGTTCTCCAACTGGTCGTCACCTCCGATTCGGCATCCACACCAACTTTGGCATGATCAAGTCTGTCGATGTCAACGGCAAGTCGCTCAAGTCGGCATTCTCCCAGAAGCATCCTGGAGCAGAGGAGCATGGTAGCAAGAGCATGGCAGCGGACGAGCACTCAGGTTGGATGGAGCCCGACAAGGGGTTCGACACGCATGTCGTTCATGGGTCCTCGATGAAGGATCAGTTCGGCAGTGTCACCTTCCCCATCTATCAGACGTCAACCTTCCGGTTCGAATCGGCTGATCACGGAGCTCAGTGCTTTGCGGGCGCCAACGACGACTTCATATACACGAGGATCAACAACCCGACCGTGAGGGAGCTGGAAAAAACCATCGCCATGCTCGAGAACGGCTTCGATGGTATCGCAACGTCCTCGGGGATGGGAGCGGTGAACACGGTCTACATGTCGTTTCTTGAAGCAGGAAAGCACGTCATCTGCCATGAGACCTGCTATGGCCCCAGCAGGAGCATGCTTGAGAACCAGTACGCCAAGTTCGGCGTGCAGGCAAGTTTCGTAGACACTTCGAAGATAGAGGAAGTCAGGAGCGCGATCAAGGACAACACTGTTCTGATTTTTCTTGAGTCGCCAGCGAATCCCACGGTGACGGTGACGGATATCAGTGCAGTGGCTGAGGTTGCAAGGCAGCACGACATCCCAGTCTGTGTAGACAACACCTTCTGTAGTCCATTCCTACAGAAACCTCTTGATCTGGAGCAGACATTGTTCTACACTCGCTTACCAAGTCGCTCAACGGCCATGCTGATGTGGTGGCGGGGATGATCGTCACCAAGACTGAGAAGCTCTACAAGAAACTTCGCCCGGTCATGGTTGGCCTCGGGTGCTGTATGGATCCCAACCAAGCTTTCCTCGTGCGCAGAGGCCTCAAGACTCTACCGCTACGAGTGAAGCAGTCTCAAGAATCTGCATGGAAGATTGCAAAGTTCCTCGAGGAGCATGACAAGATCGCGTGGATCAGATACCCTGGGCTTGCGTCGCATCCCCAGCACGAGCTCTGCAAGAGGATGATGAAGGGGCCCGGCAACATGATGAGCTTCGGGCTGCGAGGAGGGCTTGAGGATGGAAAGAGGTTTCTTGATTCGCTCAAGGTTTGCGTGCTCGCTGTCTCCCTTGGAGGAGTGGAGACGCTGATACAACATCCCGCGTCCATGACGCACGCCAAGCTCTCTCCTGAGGCTCGGTGAGGGCAGGAGGGAGCTGAAGAAGTTGCGCTGACCCTTGTGGCATGCAGGCTGGCAGGAGGAGTGTCGGACGATCTCGTGCGATTGAGCGTTGGGATCGAGGACGTGAGAGCTGTTCGAGTTTGACTTGTGCGATGACGGTTTCCTTCAGGTGGACGAGCTCATTGCCGATCTGTCTCAGGCGCTAGAGAAGATCTGAGAGCATGAAAAGATGTCTTTGTGCGGGACCTTGAGGGCTGCCATGTACAATAAGTAGGACGAGCTTCCATGAAGTAGGACGAGCTTCCATGAAGAAGGACGAGCTTCCATGATTGATATTCTGAAAAAACGAGAATTGTTCGTTTGCTCTGAAACCAGCAGGAGATAATTTTGATCGCTCGGAATGTGTCAAGAGATTGAGGCATGGAGTATTACTATTCACAGTAAAGAGTTCAACAGCATCTGCCAGCGAAATGCTGCAGCAAGAAAGTTGTTGTATGTACAATGCATCTACCTGGAGCTATAACATGCAATGCTATGCACATTGATTTCGAGTGAGATATTCAGTTGCACTTAACCATCAACAATTAATCTGCAACTTCTTCGATGCCCTCATTCTTCCTCTCCTCCTACCCACCCACCACCGTCCCTCCCTCTCCTCCTCCTCCTC